TTGTAGATTTATTTTGTTAACTTATATTACCGAATGACGTGTCCAAATGTTACTATGTAGCAAAGCGGATGAAATAAAATACAATACAATATTGAACACCTTTATCACAACTCATAACTGTTGTGTAACTGGCTGTAAGATGATTGTTTAAATAAAAGTAATGTTAAATATGGAATATGTGAAGACTTTGTATATTATTATATGAAACGTTTAAAACATAAGAAGGGAAAATATAAATAAAGTAGGCTAATACAAGGAAAAGTTTCACTTTGACTAGAAGATTCAGTCAGTGGCAGTTATGAGTATGATTGTGTAGTGTTGTTAAATACCTCTCCTTAAAAGAGGGTAAGTTCCATCCCCAGTTTACCTTTCCCATAGGGAAAATGCACTGAAATGTTTGACCTTCAGAGTCAGTGAAATAAGACTCCAGAATGTATAGTACAGATGTGCTAATGTGAGTCAATAACGTTGAGTTATGGAAGCAAACAAAAATATTTGCCTGTTCCCATTATAAGCTTCAGTACAATATGTGACATCATGCCTTATTTCAAAATGAGGTCCTGTTTCATCTTCAGGGAAATTCCCTTATATTTTGATTTTCCCGTTTATAATTTAGCATGCAACAGTCCAATAAAACAGACTTGTGTTCCGATATTAATTAGTCATGTTATATATGGCTCCTAATTAAAATTTATTAAACATATACGACAGTTGTCACAGAAATTTCCTATTTAGAATGCTCTTAAACAAAGAAATGTTCTATGGAATTTAAAAGACACCATTAGGAATGCTTGAGAAAACCAGGGGGAAATGAAGGGATGAGGCAAGTCAGCTTTTGGCCTGTGCTATGATTAATGCACTGAGTGAGAATGATGAATGCAATAAAAGAAGCACAGAAGCCTTGTAAGATGCTTGCAAGTTTGGTCTAGAGTTACATGCAGAGAAAAATGAGTATTTGGTAATATCTTGTCAGTAGAATGTATGAGAGGATGATGGTGATAGATAATAAAATTATCGCTGTACTTAATTTTGTAGTTAAGCACCACGCTATGAAGGAATATGGTAAGTGGATGTAGGTATGACTCCACCATTCTTGACCTTGGCACTTGATGGAGGTGAGTGGGTGGTCAACTTCACTCCCCTGCTGCTTTACCCCCAGGGATAGGGCCCCCAATAGCCGTTGGATAGGAGAACAGCAGTAGGTAAGTAAAGTAAAGCTATCCCTGTACCAGGCCGTGAAGTCCCATAGGGTTGTGAGACGTTGAGGGTTTCACATTATCTAGACAACTGGCCCAAAGATGGCGGTAAGGTTGCCAGCCTTACGCACCGGCCGCGCTTTACTCCCCAGGAAAATTATTTAATTAATTCCTGGTACTCATTTCTGTTAGAGTCTGAGTTGACCCCAGGGCCATAGTGCGGCTGGAAGGATTAGGTCAATTGAAAAAAATCCAATGACCTCATCGGGACTTGAACCCGCGACCTTCCAACTTGTAGCATAGTGCCTCAACAAACTACGCTACCACAGTAACAAATCATAACTACAGTCACGATGAAGATTAAATCCATGGAACACTTGCTATCACTCAGTTCAGAATCTTCTGTCTTCTTGTCTGCTGTCTGAGCATGTGAAAATAAATATCAAAAATTATAGTTTTACTTGTAGCCTTGTGTGGGCCTGGGCCTTGGTTTGGAGATTGGTCTCTTACATTAAGGGGAAAAACGCTTCAAGGGTGTTTGAGAACAGTGTGCTAACGATCGTACGTGCACGTAAAATGGATATGCGGTTAAAGACTGGAAAAAGCAGACAGCAAGTAGCTTCATAATTTATACTTTTTACCAGATATTATTAAGGCAATGAAATCAGTGATACTGCCATGGTCAGGCAATGGAGAAATGAGAAAGTCATGCAAATTTTGATCAGAAAACCTGAAGTAAGGAAATGACTTACAAGACCCAGGGTTAGGTGTGAAGATAATATTAAAATGTAAGATTTGAGGTTTCATGGCGGTGACTGTGAAGAAAGCAGTCTTCTTGGATGTAGCACCGTGTAGATGTGGTGTTAACCGACGTTTCGGGGGAATGTATCGCCTCCATCTTCAGGGTAGAAGGATTTTCTTATTTTTTCTTCTACCCTGAAGATGGAGGCGATACGTTCCTCCGAAACGTCGGTTAACACCACGTCTACACGGTGCCACATCCCAGAAGACTGTTTTCTTCAATATTAAAATGGTTTAATCTAGCTTAGGACAGGTACCAGATGCAGTTTTTCTTTTTGTGTGTGTGTGTGTGTGAATATGGTAACAAATATTTGTGTTTCATAAAATTCACGGTATTTCTTGAATAGATGAGTGATTATTATTAGCTTCTCAACAATTACTCTACTCCATGGAGTCAGTTAACTAGCCAGTGTCACAGTTACAAGTTCTCCTGTTATGCAAGCACTCACACAGGCACAGGAAAGAACATCTTTAACTGTAAAATTATGCTACTGGGTAGACAGCCACATATAATGCAATAAAATCTTAAAAGAACTGTGAAACTAATGAATGAAAGGCCTCTGACAACTTATGTTAATTCTAAGAAATTAGGACTTCGTTTGCCACTAAAATAATTTGGCCAGTTTCTTCCTTCCTGCCAGCAGTCAACTCATACCTGCTTTGGTGGACTCCAGTAGTATATTACTTTCACACATATTTTGTTATGAACTGTCATGTGTGTCACTATTCATCCAGCTAAAAATAATAAAGAAATAATTTCTGGGAAGAACCAGTCGCTTACTTTCCTCTGATACAACAAAGACAACATAGAAAACAACAAGAAAACAACGCATCCAACAATTATCCTCTTGTTGTATGTGTATTTGTTGCTGTGGGTCTGTGTTTACCGAGCCCCTACCCAGCAACTCATGGACAGCAAGGTGATCTCATATGCCTGCTTTTATTTCTTGAAATATGGCAATTAGGCTAATAAACAAATTATCATCATCATAACAATTTCTTTATTTTCAGGCTAACCCAATATTTAGTGGCCAGTTACTTGAGTATGAGTATGAGGGGTGAGCCATAAAACTGGCCCTTGCACTGCTACCTTCAATGATCTACTGTGCCAGTTACATAGTCATTGCACACAAAAATTCTATCTTATTTCGTTTAATGTGTTTTGTTCCTTTTCTTTACATGTCATGGGTTTCATCTCAGCAGCTGTGATTCTGTGTCTGTCTTTAGTCTTTATTGTCCAGGGTGAGATAAAACAGGTAACATTCTTCTTCTTCTGCTCCTATTCTTCCAAACATATGGCAGTTTCAGTATGTTACTAGGTGTATAATTTTGAGAACTTTCATATTTCTGGATCTGTCTTTTTCATTTTTGTGTAATAATTAATATATGGGATAATTTAAAGTGCTAATTTATTGGTTTTTTCTCTTGCCACAATTCTGCTTTTAATCAGCTTTCATCCTCCGAATATCATGGACAGATTTCTGTCAGAAATGTCATCCTGTAGTTTTGCATTAATTTATTTAGCACCTGGATGTATTAGCGATGTACTCATTGACACCGTTCCTGCTAACAGTCTCAAATTGAAGGACATTTAACTTATATTTATGTAATTTGTATTCTTATTAATTTTTTGATTGGATTGTTATTGTGCAGAATCACTGTATTTGACTTGTTCCATATCCTATGGTGTCTACCTGTATCTGGATTTTACGGAATGTAAATAAATTGAATTGAATTGAATTGGACGAGGCATTATTATTGGTCATCTGCAAAAATAAGGGTATTCAAATATCTGTTTCTTGAGATTTGTATTCATTTTATTTTTTCACCTCCCCATTTTAGCATTATGCCACTTTTAACAGGAATGCAGTTGCATGCAGTTGTTAACAAAGATCAAGCCTCACAAATATCTGTCTTGGTTAATGTATGGGGTATTGTGATAGTTTAAGTTAAACTTGATTCTTTATTTCATAGCTTGAAACAGTCTATTGGGGATCCTGCAAGAAAGAAATGTTCACAGAATGCAGAAAAACAGACTCTCCAAATTAATGATGAAGCACAAACTGGCTGGGGAATAATAACTAAAGAATGGAAGTTAAAGAGGCAATTAGACAACTGAAACCCAAGTTGACCAAAACATGGACCAGCTCCTCAACAGAGTGATGATGACAAAACTGTTGAATTTTTATCACCCACAGAATGGCAAAACATTTTTTTACAAGACTTACATCATTTAAATCGTAGATAGGGAATAAAGTAGGAACAAATATGTTTATTTATGAACATAGTTAAATTTCCCAAATGTGTTCCAAAATATGTGCACAGAAACACACTTTCAACTGCAGTTGGGTAATGAAAGAAGAGAAACACTTCAGAGATAGTAATTCAATTCTGAATTTGTACCACTAATGTCAATATACATAAAGCAATATATTCACTTTAAATTATGAAATAAAGTGTGTATCATATATGGAACAAGATGCTTGTACTTGTAAGTACTGTATATTTCAAAGAGGGAACCGATTTATCAAAACTTGGAAATGGGTGATTAAAAATGGGTCTGATTCAGGTTTCATTTTCATAATTCACTGTAACATCCACAAGCTAATAAACTGTATATAAATAAAACTGTTTACTCCTAGTAACAATATCTGAAAGAAATATTGACATATGGTCTCTGAAAGTGATGAACACATTAACAAGAAATTATAATGATATGCTTTGTTTTAATTCATTGTTGCTTCCACCCAGAGGAAGCTGTAGTAACTGCAGTCTCAGGTAATAATGCTTCTTGAATATTGCAGACACATGTATTTACTGGGCTCTGCTGGTCATTGTACCAAAATTTGTGTGTGATTTTCAGACAAAACACTTGGATTGAAGCTTCAGATTTTTATGAGAGATAACAAATGTCAAAATTATCAGTCATTCATGAAAAATAAAAATTATGTGCTATTAATTACTGTTACAAAGAGCTGTTTATTGTATTCAGATTCAACTTACTCATTTCACTAATTCTCTCTCGACCGGATCTTCTGACTGTTGATTGGTTAGGCTTGGTAATGGGTTTTGTTGTTTCCCTAGTTGGTGGTGGTAGGGGAGCTGAAGTAAATGGCCTCTCAGAATACCACCAGTGATACTGTGAAGTTTCAAGGTTTGGTCTATGTGGGCGGTGATTATTATTTTCGTTGTTGTTGTTGTTGTTGTTGTTGTTGTTGTTGCTGTTGTGGTTGCTGCTGTTGTTGCTGCTGCTACTGAATTGTGGTTTTACTGAAGTATCAGGAACAGTTTCAATAAATGGCTTTTCAATTAGCCACCAAGGTTCATTTCTGTTTCCTCTTGAATACCTAACAGGAGAGTTTACTGAAGATAACTGATATGGGGCAGCATCAGATAGGTAGTACTCATTTGTAAATTCTGAGGGATTTTGCTTCGGTATGATGTTACGAGGACCCTGGGGCTGAAGTCTGACAGCAGGACTCATGTCACAGCAAATAATGGGCATATCCAGTTTAATACTGCAGACAGTAGGCCTTTCCCCTTGAAGTACCTTCTGAACAACTGCAGTACATCGGGTCAATAACTGACACACGCCAACTTCTCCAGTCTTCTGCAGACACAAGTCTCCTTCTGTAACATAACAAACAGCAACAAAGCTATTGTCTAATTTAACACAGGCAATGCAACACATGTAGCTTAGCATACAGTGTTTAAAAAGAAGTACCAGCCTTAAAAATGACATAATAGCAAGACTGAAAACATACATTTTTCTATGTGTTGGGTCTGCTTTAAGAAACGTTCAAAGTCAAGTGACAACTACAAGTACACTGCTGGTACAGGATGAGTAATCTAGTTTTACTACATAAATTTAAAAATCTTCTTCATGTTTTATACACTTCAGTCCAAAAGTGAAGGATACCTACCACACAAATTATATGGGTAACTTTTAAGTAACTAATTTTATGGAGCAGAGTCCTTCTTGGGAATCTGATAGCTCTTTAAGAAATTCCTGGTCCTTTTGTCGTATCTTATAGTTCATTAATGCACTCACAAGAGCACATCACTAATCCCTGTCATGAGTCAGATGAATACATTCCACAACCTAACACTCCCATTTCTTTAATATCCATCCTAATCTTACCCTCCATTTTACACCTAGCAGGGCATGATCCTAAAAGTAGGAGTGTTGAGGTAATCTGGCATGCAGTTCAATGTGGAAGAAAATGAGCATGAATCATGATGCAAAAGCATTCTGGTTGTTGTTTGATGAAAGTTTTAGGTTTTAAAGAGCAGAATGCAACAATAAACAGCTCATAAAATGGAAATGTTTAAGCCTTAGTTGACTGAGACTTGAAAACAAAAACATATTTTAGTTAAATACTCCTAGTAGTAGAATTTAATGGGAATAATAAGGAAAACGTTCTTGGGGTTCTGTGATACCATAAAAAATATAGTTTTTACCTCATATATGTTACACTATATATGTAGTAGAGCTTACCTTACAGTAGAAAGTATAATTTTTGTTGCATTACTTTTCTGATATATTGATCAACAGTAAACTGAATAGTACAACACTTGTAGTTAACAGAACAGATATTATAAAACTGCAGTAACTGTCAAACCATGTTAGGTGGGCCCCTGTCACCACGGCATGGCGCGTCCTCAGGTTGTGGATGGAGGAGAGGCCCTCCAGTTTTGGAGGGAAGCTGTGAATATATTGAATAAGCAGTCGCGGACAGCCGACAAGGGGTGGCCCTCCAGCTTGGGAGTTGGGCGTGGGGCTAACAACTCATCACCGTAAAAAATCAGTATGTTACGAAAATGAACACAAAGCCTCGGACCTGGATGGATTCCTTGGATAAACGACCTAAGCTAATGAAAATGGATATGAGATTTGGCACTTGGAATGTACGAAGTTTGTATAGGGCAGGTTCGCTTAGGGCAGTGGCAGAAGAAGTCTTAAAATATAAGTTAGATTTAGCGGGAGTACAGGAGGTCAGATGGGATGGAGGTTGCATCGCACCAGCAGGAGCCTAAACATTTTTCTATGGAAAGGGGAATGAAAATCATGAATTAGGTACAGATATTTTCGTACAAAAGAGAATCATATCAACAGTTAAGAGGATAGAATTCATTAGTGATAGGATATCATATATAATACTAAAAGGTCGCTGGTGTGATATCATTGTTATGAACGTTCATGCCCCAATAGAAGATAAAATTGATGACATAAAGAATAGATTCTATGAAGAACTAGAACATGTACTCGTATTTGATAAATTCCCGAAGTACCCTATGAAAATTTTGTTAGGAGATTTCAATGCCAAAGTAGGGAGGGAAGAAATTTTCAAACAAATTGGGAATGAGAGTTTGCATGAAATTAGTAATGATAATGGAGTTAGAGTAGTAAACTTTGCCACATCAAAAAATCCTACTGTCAAAAGTACAATGTTTCCACATCGTAACATCCATAAATTTACTTGGACATCTCCTGATGGGAAGATACACAATCAAATAGACCATATTTTGATAAATAGGAGATGGCACTCAAGTATACTTGATCATTCAGGGCAGCAGATTGTGATACTGACCACTACTTGGTGGTGGCAAAGGTTAGGGAAAGACTGGCAGTGAGCAAACAAACAACACAGAGAGTTCATATGGAGAGGTTCAATCTCAAGAAATTAAATGACGCAGAGGTAAAGAGCAGTATCGTGTTGAAATCTCAAATAGGTTTGCGGCTTTGGAAAACTTGGACACTGAGGTGGATGTTAATAAAACTTGGGAAACTATTAGAGAGAATATAAAAATGTCTGCCAAAGAGAGTCTAGGTTATTATGAACCGAAGAAGCATAAGCCATGGTTCGATGAAGGATGCTCAAAATTATCAGATTAAAGAAAGCAGGTCAAATTGCAGTGGTTACAGGATCCAAGCAAATTAAATGGGGATAATCTAAACAATATAAGATATGAAACCAGCAGGCATTTCAGGAACAAAAAGAGGGAATATCTGAAAGACAAAATTGATGAGCTTGCAATGAACAGTAAGAACAAGAATATTAGAGACCTGTGTAGGGGAATAAATAACTTTAAAAGGGGTTACCAGCCTAGCAGTAAATTAGTGAAGGATGATCGGCTTGCAGATTCCCACAACATTTTGAATAGGTGGAGGAACCACTTCTCTCAGTTACTGAATGTACGTAGGGTCAGTGATGTTAGGCAGACATAAATCCATACAGCTGAGCTGTTAATACCTGATCCTAGCCCTTTTGAGGTTGAAAGTACTATTGCAAAATTGAAACGGTATAAATCACCAGGTAGTGATCAAATTCTGGCAGAACTTATTCAAGCAGGAGGCAAAATATTACTTTCTAAGATCCACAATCTAATTATTTCTATTTGGCATAAGGAAAAATTGTCTGATCAGTGGAAGGAGTCTATTATTGTACCAGTTCACAAGAAGGGTGATAAAACTGACTGTAGTATCCCTGCCATCAACTTTATATAACATTTTGTCCAATATTCTTCTTTCAAGGTTAAGTCCATATATAGATGAAATTATTGGAGATCATCAGTGTGGGTTTCGACGTAACAGATCAACTACAGATCAGATCTTTTGCATTCATCAGATATCGGAGAAAAAATGGGAGTACGATGAGACAGTACTTCAGCTATTCATAGACTTAAAAAAAGGCCTATGATTCAGTTAGGAGGGAAGTATTGTACAATATTCTGATAGAGTTCGGAATACCCATGAAACTACTTAGGTTGATTAAAATGTGTTTAAACGAAACGTATAGTGTTCTCCATATAGGTAAACATCTGTCTGATAATTTTACTATACAGAATGGTCTAAAACAAGGAGATGTTTTGTCGCCACTCCAACTTTGCTTACAAATTGGCCATTAGGAAGGTCCAGGAAAACCAGGTGGGACTGAAATTAAATGGAACACATCAGCTGCTGGTCTGTGCTGATGATGTGGATCTACTTGGTGATAATACAGATACCATAAAGAAAAACACAGTAACTTTAATTGACTCTAGTAAGGAGACTGGTCTACAAGTAAACACAGAGATAGATAAAGATAGGAAACAGATGTTTTGAAAATGTGGCACATTTCAGATATTTGGGAACAACGATAACAGATCGAAACCTGATTCAGGAGGAAATTAAGAGGCGATTGAACTAGGGTAATGCTTGCTACCATTCAGTCCAGAACCTTTTGTCTTCTCATCTGCTGTCCAAAAACATAAAAATTAGAATATACAAAACTATACTTTTTCCTGGGTTCTGTATGGGTGTGGAACTTGGTCTCTGACATTAAGGGAGGAACATAGACTGAGGGTGTTTGAGAACAGGGTGTTGAGGAGAATATTTGGACCAAAGAGAGATGAAGTCACAGGTGGTTGGAGAAAACTGTATAATGAGGAGCTTCATAACTTGTACTCTTCTCCAAGTATAATTAGAATGATCAAGTCAAGGAGGACGAGGTGGGCAGGTCATGTAGCACGAATGTGGGGACGAGGAATGCGTATAGGATATTGGTGGGAAAGCCAGAAGGAAGGAGACTACAGGGAAGACCAAGGCGTAGGTGGAAGGACAATATTAGAATGGATCTTAAAGAGATAGGATGGGATGGTATGGATTGGATAGATCTGGCTCAGGATAAGGACCAGTGGAGGGCTCTTGTGAACACGGTGATGAATCTTCGGGTTCCATAAAATGCTGGGAAATGCTGAGTAGCTGCAGAATTGGTGGCTCCTCAAGAAGGGCTCAGCTCCATGAGTAAGTAAGTAAGTCACTGTCAAAGGTATACAAACAATGTGGATTGTAAATTAGTGTCTGTTCATTTAACATTTATATATTACAATTCAGTGGGGCATGCTGTAGGGTAGTTGGTTGATGCACTATGCTACAGCAGTGCATCAACCTGATGAGGTCATAGGATTTTTCAAGTGAACTAATCCTACCAGCCACACTTTGGCCCTAGGGTTGATTCAGCCTCTGACAGAAATGAGTACCAGGAATCTTGCTAGGGATAAAGGTGTGGCAGGCGTGTAAGGCTGACAACCATCTGAGAGCTGACTTTTAAGAAATGTAGGAGCCTTGACATCTCACAACCCTATGGGCCTACATGGCCTGTAAGAGTGACTGCTTTATCTATATTACAATTTAAACTTCTTATGGGACATGACATAATGAAGAACTTTATGGTTTGTACTTTTCAACAGATATTATTAGGGTGATCCAAATAAGGGTGATGAGAGGGGCAGGGCATGTGACAAGCATGGGTAGGGTGACAAATATATAAAAAATTTGTTAGAAAATTGTAAGAGATCACTTGTGAGACCTATGTATAAATGAAATAAATGAAAATTAATATTAAAATGGATCTTGAAGAGATGGTATATGGCAGTGTGGACTGATTTCCATATATTTTGATCCCTTAAGACACTTAAGATTTTAGCATCCCTGTAGTAGCTTTTCTCTTCCACATTTTGTTGTGTACAGCTTTGTGGCTTGTGCTTGTCTCACTGAAGACAGAGCCTCAATAATTAAAACTGGAACATTGTTTTGTATTTTAGGTCTTCAGTTTCTTCATCTTCTACCTGTGAAACACCTGTGTCAAGATACTATTTCTTCTTCCTTCCAATTTACCTCTAATCCCTACTCAGTGTACTCTCCATGTCATATCGGCAGCAGTATCTTTACCTTTCAGTCTTCACTGAAACAGATCTTTTGCAACTGGTGTAATCCATCTATTTTGTATTTTGGCTACAATGCCTACTGGATATCCAGGTACTGATGTAAGAAAGCTGGCACCTTGCTTCACTCTGCACCACGTTTAAGGTGGAAAGTGTATATGAGGCAAGGATTAGTAAGTACTCGAGATGGGATCAAGCAATTTCCAGAGTCAGAGATTCTCTGTTTGCTTTTGCAACAACCCAGGTAATCAACTAAAGCAGTAACAGTGGTGAGCTGTGATAAATATATACATAAAACTTGCAACCTGGTAGTCCCAACCACAAACATTAAGGTGCAGGACAGTTTGGGGTCAAAATTGCTATAGCAATCGGCAGATTCGCAGGGTTGTCAATCTTGCTGTGAGGGTTGTTCAACGAGTAATAATCCCGATTCAGTCGCTCTTCTGTCTTATGTCGGGTTGACCTTCGACTGCATCAGCAGGATGCTGTTCTGGCACAGCATGAAGTCTGTTGGCCTCCTGTCACGGGTAATCTGTGGTTTCCCCTAGCCAGCCAAAGATGACGCGGGACTGAGTTCACCAGGAGCACATTGTGCCCCCTGTAAGTGTGGTCAGGTCTTCTTTGGACAGGCAGGCAGCTCAATCGACACCAGGTTGAAGAAGCACCTAGAGCAGGTCCAGCTAGAACATCTGGAATAGTCAGCCGAGAGCCACTACATTCAGCATCACTATCATCTTCTCCACCATACTTGGATACATTAATCGCATCATTAGGGAGGTAACTGCGATGGAGCTCCATCCAAATAATTCTCAGCAAGTCACGGGCACTGCTCATCTACTCCCTGATACATCACAAGTAGCCTCCTTCACTGGATTCTGCAGCTGAGTTCTTCACTGGGCCACGTAACTGCATGAACACGGTCCTTCACGGTCTAGACTAGCCTTAGGCATTGCTACAACTGTTGTCGTTTCGGCCAAATCTGGGTCCGCTGGAAAGAGTCCACTTTGGTGCAAAGGTCGACGTCATTATCAGGAGTGCCTACAGGAACGCAATGAAGTGGCGCAACTGTGAGGCGCAGCATGCTTGTAGCTACAGAGGTTGTATCTGTGTCAACACAGCATAGGACACAGTAGCATCCCGGGCCTCACGTACCCACTGGCTGCAGCGTTTCGTCAGAACTCTTCACTCCAGGCTGGATGTACACTGCGGTGTAAACCAGCAACGTCGGCGAACCCCGGGAATACACGGGAGCAAGTGCCCAGCGGGGGGGGGGAGACACTAACAGAGATGTGGTCAGCTCCGTAGCCACAGCGCATTATACCGTGACGGCCATGACGGCAGTAGAGACAGCAGATACATGATTCACCATTCTTATAATGGCTGATTACAGGCTCATCATGAGAAAGAAGGACCTACCTTCGCTGTAGGTGCAGCATATCTTGAGCGTATGAACACACGTGATCCCTCTTGTTCTCTGAGAGGAGGAACCAAAATGTCTACTGATGGTTACAGTCTGGTTGGTAGCCCAGAAAGAACTCGATACCAAGACAACACTAGTCGGGCGAGGAGCCGCCCGCAGGGCATACTCAGTCCCGAGTTCTGAATCCTGAAATGAACTGCTCTGCTTGCTGTCTGCTTCGTGCTGGTTTCCTGTTTGGCTTACTCTTCAACCTTGAAGATGAAGGCGATATGTTCCTCCGAAACGTTGGTTGGTTTTCACATAACCACAAGGCATTGGAAGGACTAGGTAAATTGAAAAGATCCACCACATCGGGACTCGAACCCGCGATCTTCAGGCTTGTAGCATAGTGCCGACCGAGTGGTCGGAGTTCGAGTTCCGGTAGGGTCAAGAATGTTCTCTTCTCCACGCCGTCCAGACCGGCTCTGGGGTACACTCAATCTCCTATCCAATGGGTACCGGTAGCTCTTTCCCCGGGTATAAAGCGGCCGGGGCGTGAAACTGACCACTCACTTCCAACTAATGCCGAGGTCAAGAAAATGTGGATCTATACATCCACTCACCTACGTCTTCATGGCGTAGTGCTTAATTAATTAAGCACAGGGACAACTTTACTTTTACCTTTATAACAAATGTCTTAAAACCTGGACTTTTTGTTAACCGATTTTAACCTTCATAATGCAATATTAAATTTTCATTACTTTAATGTTACCCATTTTTTCTTGTGCCACCGAATTCAACGGCTCTTACAATTATTGAATATTGAACAAAATGCCAGAAGATTGCCCCAAATTAGGCCACGACCACTACTTCCGCCTAATGTATTCATTAATCAGCCTACTATTTGATACTGTATAGCTTGGTCTACTGAAAATGTCGTAAATAAAAAAATAATGTAATGAATTCAGACTTTCCTGCTAATGTTTTGTGTGCATTTATCAACTTCCATTGGTGCTATATGCCCTACCCACCACTTCCCTCCTCGATTTGACCATCTAATGATGTCTGGTGAAGAGTATATACAATGAAATTCCTGTGCATCCTTAAGTTAACAAATGTGCCGGTTTTCTCAAGTACCGTATGACGGAGGAAGAGCATCAGGAGGCCTCCCTCATAACGGAACCGACCGGAGGAGTTGGGCTTGCTCTCGCACGCGTCGCGGGGAGCGTCTCGTGTTGTTCTTGGTGTTTTTGCACCCCTCGGCTTAAGTGAAGCTAAGACGGACAGACTCGCAGCTTGTCTTCATGCACATATAACTCGTCTACAAGTAGTAGCAATTCCGTAACTTCTGTCTGTACACTTCACCTAGTGATGTACTGCAGGTGAATCATTACGCAATGTCCTTACGTTGACGTCAAACCGGCGGAAGGACACGCATAGTCCAGAAATAACGATAGACTTCCTTCTGCAGCGGTCTTTAACTGAGTTACTCTACGACATCCGTAGCTAGGTAGAAACCATCGTGAACGACGAATTGCGAAGGATCTGGAAGGAAGCGATTGGCCTCCAACCGAGCTAGTAGAGACTGTTACCGCGTGGTAACGACAGTGCTTAGAATCCTTACCATTACGTCGGAAACAAGGGGACAGGCTGTCACTTTGGAACGGGGCACTACTGCTGTAAGCGCTTACTGCGAGACTTGAAGGAATTTCAGGTATGGGGTTACAGTGGAGGCATGTGCCTGAGGACAGGCGGCATAGCCGAAGGACAATGGTTCTGTGCAGTATCAGACATATAGCAGTGACGTCGGGCGTTGAGACTGCACAGTTCCGGGCGCAAGGCGCCGAACTTCCAACACACTGCCTTCGAATGAGAATGAGAGCAAAACTGAACTCTTCATTGCGGCTGCAGTCGGTATCCGACACGAATTCTAAGCTAATTGCAGATTACATCCATAATTTTGTTCACCCTGTTATTATAAGATCCGTTGCAGTATTGTTACTCATGTTTATTTAACGATACTGTCAGTTACTTGGAATATTTAGTGTCCATTGGTAGGATAATTCTTAAAAGCTATCCCTTTAACAGGCCGAGGAGACCCATAGGGCTGTGAGACGTCGAGGTTCTCACATTTTCTAGATAGTCGACTCACAGATGGCGGTGAGGTTGTCAGTCTTACGCGCCGGCCGCCCTTTACTCCCAGGAAGATTCCTGGTACTCATTTCTGCTAGAGGCTGAGTTGACTCCTGGGCCACAGTGCTGCTGGAAGGACAAGGTCAGCTGGTGAGTAATGGATTGGAAAGGATCTGAAAGGAAGCTGCCGCAGCGTGGTCTCAGGTATTCCATGGGACTTTCCTGGAGAGGCTGAGAAGACACGAAAAGCCTCATTCGAGTTGATGGCTTCTAAACCGGAGACCATCGGAATACGTATCAGGTTTGCTAACTACTGGGGCGCGAACCCCGGGTCTCTAGAGTACTCACTTCCCCTCGGGTTTTCCGATCAAAATATTGGGACTCCCCCAGCCCTTCCATGCATACTATACGTTCTTTCATTCCCTCCTCCCTGATCTGACTGCATCAGTAGTATCTCTTAGAGAGTACAAGTTTTGGAGCTATTCTCCGCTCTCCTTTTGCTTCCTCTGTGTCCACAAGCCCCACGCCCCTATGGGCCTGCGTCACCAGAGCTAATACGAACCTGATTTCTGCGCAGCCACTTTATCAGCCCGACAGGCAAGCAAGCACAACGTTAACACAGTGCAAATCACAATTTGCTTTCTGTCACTGTCACAACTACACGACGGTCGCAGCATGTTGATAAACTGGTTCCACTTTTCGAAATACCAGAACTTCACATATTCACACCGCGAATGGACTGCCACAAACTACACGACGTCCAACAGCTCTGCCGAGACTGGCCGACACAGGTTGTACCCGAGGGCATGCTGTATCACAACAAGGAAAACAGTCACGTGAGACTCGTGGGGCCTAGTTCACATGGTGTGGTGTCAAGAAAGTACCAGCCCGGAACTATGTACCCTGCTTGTCATTAATTCGCATTCGAGACGAGGCTACTGGATTGGATTCTGAGCGCCGACTATACCGACGGTTTTGCGTCGTTTCCGTCGTAGATTAGGAGCGCTTTTCCAGAATATTTCCCTCTTCACCGTTTACAACCATCTTCTCGCCTCGTTAGATTTTAAATAACACAACGTTTCGGAAACTGGATCCGTTTCCATCCTCAGGCGACTGGGGAGACATCTACTCTGTTGGGTCCCTTAGCCACTGAACAAAGTGTGTTGTGTTGGAGCGCACAGGTGACCTGTTACAGGGGTATGTTGAAGGATACGGGGCGAGCACTAGTATCGTGCAAGTCTGAATTTACTTTCAAAATGTAACTTTCATTTCTGTGAAGCAGCTAGCCACTAAGCTAGTTAATAAATCCCCCATCATTTATAGAATTCGAAGTTTCATTGCCGTGTTTACAAGAGTCCGACACAGGACATAAGACGAATCCAGTCTTCATCATATGTCATTCAAAGTATTCGTCCAAGTCCGAGGTCGTGGATTTCTGTGTGAAGAAGGACTCGAGAGGCCATCTCTTCCGCCTGCATTCCGAGAGTGTACGATTCCGTGCTCACAAGGGGCCCATTTTACACAGGATGGGGTCAGTGATTAGTTTTGTTGTGTGAGGAGGACATGTTCCATCTACTACGGGATCGAGGATGAGTCGTCGTCAGTTAGTGACGCACACCATTAAGTTGTCATCAACCAGTTATCGGATCTGTTTCCAACATACTGCCGGCATTTATACTCCTGTGGGAAATTCAAACATACATACACAGGACTATCCTTCTGTACAGTTGCCTACACAAGGTACGACATACCTGGTTCGTACAGCAGACAGATTGAATTTTCCGCTGAACGTAAAAAGAAAGGCAATATGGTGTCGAAATAGACTTCAGTGACGTGGCGTTCCTGTCAATTTCAGCTTCAACATTTTTTAGTTTTGGGTCGCACTACAAAGCTACTTTTTCTCGCCCCGGTCTGATATGCTCAGTGGATTCACAGAGCTCAGAGACTGCATAAGCATAATATGTGTGGAGATTCTCGGAGCTCAGAGACTGCATAAGAAAAAAGTGTGTGGGGATTCCATGATTTCTGAGTGTGCATAAGCAAAATGTGCGTCGAAATTTCCGGATTTCTGGGCGTGCATAAACAAAATGTGCATGGGGATTCCCAGAGCTCTGGCACTGAATAAGTAAAAACGCTCTGGTGTGAAGCCGCTTACAGCCTTCGGACGTGACGTCCGAACTCCTCCTTTCCTCCTTCGGCTGGAACTGCATAAGAATGACGTGTGAGGCGAGGGGCAGAGGAGGTGAAGTACTGAGGCAATTCCCAGATGCCTTAGCGCTTGCTCCCGGAGAACAATATGCAGATTTTGACCGACAATAAGGAAGTTCCGCAATTATTTACATCTACTAATTTCAATGTTTCTTTTTGCTGATCTAAATAAAATTATAAAGTAAAAAGTAAAGCTATCCCTGTAAAAGTCCATGAAGGCCCATAGGGTTGTGAGACGTTGAGGGTCCCACATTATCTAGACAATCGGCTCAAAGATGGCAGTAAGGTTGTCAGCTTTACGCGCCGGCCGCGCTTTACTCCCAGGAGTATTATTTATTTAATTCCTGGTACTCATTTCTGTATAAATTCCTAAAGTTTATATGCTCTCTTCTCGATTATGGAAAGTGAGTGTGAAGAGACCCACTTATGACATTAAAGTAACTGTACTATTCTATTTATTCTATATTTAATTCCTTTATGGAACTTCTCGGAATACCCAACAAGTAGAGAAGCTGGGATAGTTCAGTCGATACAGTGACCGGCTACCGGCTGGACGACCGAGGGGTCGGAGTTCGAGTCCCGTTAGGGTCAAGAATTTTCTCCACGTCGTTCAGACCGGCTCTGGGGTCCACCCAACCTCCTATCCAGTTGGTACCGGGGGCTCTTTCCCTGGGGTTAACGTGGCTGGGGAGGGAAGCTGACCGCTCACCTCCAGCTAGTGCCGAGGTCAAGAAAATATGGATCTATACATCCACTCCCCCATACGCCTTCATGGCGTAGTGCTTAATTAGTTAAGTACAGGGACATCTTTACCTTTACCTTACCCAACAAATTGAACTGCTTCAGTGCGAAGAGTTTATTTGCAGTTTATGTACAGATTTTTGATCTTCTGGGGGCCATACATAAACATCTGTTCCCACAGACAACTAGAGCGGAGACATTCGGAAAATGCGAGGCGTTCAGCACGCGCTGAGATAGTCGCTTTACGCTCCCTTTACTTAACGGAACGCGTTTTTCGGTGCGTCGTCCCGCTTTCGTTGTTGCTTAGCGTTACAAGTGTTGTTCTGCGAATTCTTGAGATATAAAGAGGTATAGAATGTGTGGTCTTCTCTATTATGACAGCTAGTCCCGCAACTTCAGGGAGATGAAGCCAATGCGTTTCTTCGACACGTCGGTAAGCATTTAACGGACTACACACAAAATGAGTTTTCACCGCTAAGAAAGCTGCAAGTCTGACACTGAAGCAGGTTTTACAGCATGAAGATGTGAAAGTGACTGAGGTCTCTCCCATGACACCGCAAGATGTTCTTGTTTTCATTCCGCTGTCTGACACAATCATCCGCTGCCTCGAGCACTTTACTCTGAAAATTGTAATGCGGACGCGAGCGATCTACCAGCATAATCCAGGATTTAAATAATTGGACTTTTCAGTTAACAAAGGCTGAGTGTGACACATTCACATATTATCTCTGCTACTCAATTATGTGTTACCAACGTTATTTTTCTGTCACAAGTTTATTGTACCAAGTTGTGAGGCGGATAGACGCTTCGGTGCTGATAGAAGTACCTCAAGTGTATGTATACAGCATCGTCCGAGATTATACAGAAATGTTCTTGTGAAATTTGAGGTTCTCAGGGCCTCATTTGACGTAGTGTAGTTTGATAGATAGGGACCATCGTTTCGGAGAAATCTGGTGCCTCCATCTTCTACCTTGAAAGTAGAGACAGCAAGTTCTTCCGAGCCGTTGCTACACGTATACCAGAGCGCACTGTCGCATCTCAGGGCACCTCACTCTTCAGATTCTGTCGGTTTATTTAACGACGCTTTCAGTAGTTCATATTAAATGACGGTTGGAATACCTCTGACGTAGTGTAACCGCCCCATCAAAATCCTTCCATCCCCCCTCTTTTAGTAGGTAATAGGGTCAGTAATAAGAAGTTACGAAGAAACAAAGGTTTAATTAAGACTCGCTGTAAGAACAAGGAATAGACGATGAGCAGATAGACCAAACTTGCGCGGACAAGGACATCTGCTAGTCCTTACGTCCAAGCATCTGGTGTTATTTTCCAAAACGGCAGAAAGTGATACTTCAAGAAACCCCACTGAGTTTCTTTAGAAATGTAGAATTAGCCTTACAGCGGCAAGCCACGTTGAGAATTCGAGAAGTGACAGTTTTTACCAGCCGTAAGTCAGAAGTGGGAGTGCCAGGAGATCATTAGTGACCCCTCATAAGTTGCATCGCTGTCAATTTCGCCGTTTTGTCTTTCAGGGCAAAGTTCCCTTAAAAATAATCTGTCATTGGCCGGAACCAAAATTAGCCAACACCCCTTATTTGAACTGGCCTATCAGGGAAATTAAGAGGAGAGGAGAATAGACAGATACAACTCAGTTAGGACCTCTGGCTCGGTAGAGAGTTCAGTCTAAGATTTGGAGTCGTCTATCAATTTTTGAACTCGGCGGAGGCAAACCCCACATCACTCGCACTAAAAGATAATTCTAAGAAGTCCAAATTTTTGCTCTCATAATGACTCATATTGAGATTTAGCTTAATCAACAAGAGCGCGGCACCAAGGAATTTGGCGAGCTGATCGAGTGCATTTTAGTGGAAGTGTAACACCCGCTGCTTGTACGCCGAGACTAAATCAGGTTGTCAGAATTTACGCAGCCAAGTGTCGTTAGGAAGAACAACAATGAAGTTTGTGGTGTAAAGTGCATTGTGTTGATCAGAGGTGTTTCACCCTCACTTCTCCGAGCCTGACACGTATTCGACCTGAAGAGAGACTCATCTCCACTACCTAGTCAACCCCACCGTCAGCTTCCACATGCTCACTCCTTCCCCCACTTACTATGAATCGTAAATAACCTCTAGCTGGTTGCTGGCGCCCATATTATTAGATCCAACCACTAATAATCTCAACTGAAGGAAGAAGCGGCGGAGCCGGGTCAAACCGAAACCAGCTACGACCTAGCAACTAAAGCAGCGGCAACACCAGGTAGGGCAGCGTCAAAGTGGTCATCGGAGCAGAAGGGCCGATCGCCATCGACTGACTCCCACTCCCTGCACTACTATGCAGACGGAGCCGCAGGCGGGAGGTAGGAGGGACGGTTGCAGTAGCCCTGCGAGTTTAGGATGCGATGAAGAGGGAACCCAGTGCCTACGGGTATAAATGGACCACCCTGTTCCTGGAGGATACAAATACGGGGACGTGACCTCCAGGTTGGGGGAGTCTATAGAGTCTGAAACAGCAACATATGGTCATTATTCCGGTGCGACTCTGACCCAAGAACTACCGCGTTGACGAGAACTAGGAGCAATTGTAAAGGACACAGGAGGGAGGGGGACAGAGGGGGCGCCCCACATCAACAAATATACAACTGTCTGACAGCAACAAAAATCTGGTCTTGGGGCCCCAGATCGGGACTTCATACCACGACAGACTGGCTGCTTGACCGTCGGTCGTAACTTACCTTTGACTTTGAGTTGTTGAGTCAGTGGAGAATTGCAGTTGTGAGGAGTGAGAAGATGGTAGCTGAGGTCGAGAACAGTCCGGGAAACAAGAGGAAAGGGAACGTTCGCCGTTGAAAGCCGCTACCAAGCA